AGAGAGAGAGAGAGAAGGGGGAGGGGACACTTTTTTGAGGACACTTGAATACGTCACAGGTTTTTTATAATATTTGGAATAGTAACAAATATGAACACACATTTTAAAAATAAATCTTTTTAAATCCATAATCAACATTATTTGCCAAAATGACACAATGATTAGAATTTTAGCTATTGAACTTTTATACACAATTTTAATGCTTGCTCTTTTAATGAACAAATATCCCCTTCAAAACTGATGGTGTGCCTCGACAATTTTAGGGCTTTGTTCAGTGTGCCGTGCATTGAAGGAAGTTGAAAATCTCTGTACTGGATGTAGAAGAGGCACGAGACTGAATCCTTTAGCACCGCAGCCCCTGATAGCAGATGAATATGGGGCACTGATGGAATAACTGGAAGTGAGACAATAAAGTGCTCAAAGAAAATCTTATCCAGTTCCATTTTGTCCATCACAAATTCACAGAAACTACACCGGGATTGAACCTGGGTCTCCATGGTAAGAAGCCACCGATTAACTACACGAGTTATGGTATGACAAAGTACATATGTCAATTAATACATTAAACTTGCAGTGAACAAATTCTGTAGTGTATTGTGTTTCACTTCAAATTCATTTATTTATTTATTTTCCATAATTGGAAGAAATAATCTGGAGATGTGAAATTGTTAAGTCCTCTCAAGATACCAATTTAAACAAATTCTCTTCAAATAAAAAATACACAATTCGTGCAATCTAAGTGAACTGGTTTTATAAAAAACTGCACCATCATATTCCTGCAACGTAATTTTGTTCAAATTCCTGAACAGAGACTTCAATATCTTGTTGAAGCTTAGAGAAATCAGTGAGATTAAAAAAAATTGAATCACATGAGGAACAGTTTCCTGTCACGCTGAGTAAATATTATGTGATAAAAAGAAAATATTTCAAAAAAATTATGTTGTAAGTACCGGGTTGCTTCATCTTGCTTCGCAATCATGTTCGACGTTTCAAATTTGCCTTTCAGTTAGAAGTATGGCAAGCAAAGCTGATAATTCACTTGAGAATGAAACATCAAGTGGATCCAAACTCAAGCATCCAATCCTCATATTTTTTATGTCTTCTTTAGATACGCTCTTCTTGCACTTTGCAAGAGCTTCTTTAAAGTCTTGCGCCGTTATGGGTAGATCCAGTGCCTCCTTCGGCAACTGTCTGATCTCGTCAGAACGAAGACCGGCAATCTTATGTCTCATTGACATCAGTGCTGCATCCCTGCAACAAGATTACATAGTCACACTTCTTGAGAACAGTGATGTGATCTCTTCTGCTGACAATGAAATAAATTCATACAAAACAAACATTTCAGAGAGACATGTAGAAATGGAAAGATTATGTTTTATAACAATAAAATTCCACAATTAATGTTCTCCTTAAGTTTGTGTTAAGTCTCAGTCTTTCCTCAAAAGTTAACAGCAGTGAACGTGATGTCTCGAACCCACAATAACAATACCACACCCAGGTCTAATTCATGTTTACTCTTCTGTCTACCTCCTACATCATACCCAGGTCAAGGAAAGAATGCACACAGATTCTTTCCCTCCATGTTCCTTCCTCAACTCTATTATTTACCACATGTATTTTGGCTTTGGTTCCATTGCAGACCATCCCTTCTTGCATTCTTGGAGGGGAGTGTGCAACGCAAGTACGGTGCAGAAACATTCAGCCAGCTTTCATTCCCACCACCCATGTTCATTCTTTCTCTGACCTGAGTATAGCAACTGACCTGCAGATATTGGTGATGTCACACCCAGAGTAGCCCTCTAAGTTCTTTGCAATATCCTTTAGATCCACATCTGAATCCAATTTCATATCTCGGAGATTAATTCTTAATAGTGCCTCACGTCCATCACCTGCAAATAGAGTTGTATGTAAAGTTGGCAGTTCTGTAAAACTCTACCAGCTGTACAACAAATATCTCATTGTACTCACTATTTGGAAGAGGAATATATATCCGTTTCTCCAGTCTTCTCCGTAATGCATTATCAATGTCCCAGGGAAAATTCATTGCTGCTAAAACCATAACTAGCTTACTAGGATCTTCACTGAAATTTGAACACCAAATTCCAATTTTAGTGCATTCATAGAATCCGAAAGCAAGACTAGATCATGTAGGGAAGGTACAGTAATCATCTATTGTCAGTATATGAACAACAAACTCAGTTTTACAATTATATACTGTTGTACAGTAGTAAAATGGTAAGGTAAAGTTGTACCTGTGCTTAATTAATTGGCACCACACCATGAAGGTGTATGGGGGAGTGGATGTATAGATCCAGTTTTTTGACCTTTGCACTAGCTGGAGGTGAGTCGTTAGTTTCATGCCCCTGCCGCTTTAACACCGGGAAAAGAGCCCCTGGTACCCAATGGACAGGAGGCTGGGTGGGCCCCACAGCCGGTCTGGATGATATGTAGAAGAGAAAATTCTGATCCTACCGGGACTCGAACTCTGACCCCTTGGTTGTCCAGCCCATAGGCAGTCACTATACTGAATGCGCTACCCCGGCTCACGTTGTATAGTAGTGTGACTGGCAAATAATGAGTTGCAGAGAATGCAGACAGAAATGAAAAGAACGCATAAGTAGTCAGACTGACTAATTTGGTAGGCACCCAGTAATAATATTAAAGAGGAAGGCTACAAGCCCAGTCAGTAATTTAAACAACAATGGAGGAAGGAATGTAAAGAAAGAAAACAGAATTATATCGACAGAGATGAGTGTAGGTAAAGCTGTCTCTGGGCTTAATAAAGCAATATGCCATGAAGGCATAGGATGGAATGGAGGTATAGCTCCACACACTCTTAACCTTGCCACTAGATGGAGGCGAGCGATTAGCTCATGCCCTGGTCGCATTCCTAAGAAAAGAGCCCCCTGTATCCCCTCGACAGACCCCTACAGCTAATCCTGATATCATGGAGAATAGACAAATCTCTTGCCTCTGACAGAAATCAAAAACAAATTTCTCAGTCAAAATCACAGCCAAACTGCTTTACTGATGATGGATATCTCAACGAAGCTGAAGAAGAGAACTAGCAAGAAGAGGAGGAAGTAACACTACGCCATGGGTACGTATCTTCATCAGAAGTTCACACAAAATAAATCACATAAATCATTTAAGTACTAACCTTCACTGTCCAGAACACAAAATTTGTAATCCCTTCCTTCTACTGTGCTGGCCACCATATTTTAATTACCAGGTAATGGTATAGGCAAAGTAAAATTATAGCTGTACTTCATTAATTAAGCAGCATGCCATGAAGATGTATGTGGGAGTGGAGGTATAGGTCCACTATCCTTGACCTTGACACTAGTGTTCAGTTTCACCCCTGGGGGAATAGCCGCAGTACCCATTGGACAGGAGGCTGAGTGGGTCCCAGGGCCAGTCTAGATGCTGAAGAGCAAAGAAAAATTGGTTGCCTCTGCCAGGGATCAGACTAGCACTGCAAAAATGTTAACTCTTGGAAAGAAGAATCTGACATGTGCAGTTACAATAATGCAATGCACAGCCAGTGAAGGCCTAACAGATTCCTGAAAACTGGTCAGCAGCCCAGGCAGAAGAGGCATATGCACATGGCTCAGTGACATGCAGGAATCTCTTACATAACTGTACTGCAGATAACTAATAACACACCACATGGATCCTGACATTACCATGTCATTCTGAATCTCTAACCTGTAGAAATTAACTTACCTGCTAGAACTAACTCCATCCATCTGAACTAGAAGCTCTGACTTCACTCTTCTTGTTGCTTCATGTTCTGATTCTGACCCCCTTCTGGAGTACAGAGAGTCAATCTCGTCTATAAATATTGTGCTGGGGGCATAGAAACGAGCCTGAAAATGGCAAGAACACAGTGAAATTCAGAACAGTCATTCAGAGAAGCAATGGCTAAAGAGACAAGATGACATTCACTTAGGGGATGACATTAGAATCATTGATAAGGAGTAAAGTCTTCATGGACATGACACTGTACAGTCTGGTAGAAATGTACCAACATTTCAGAGCAATCTGCTGTTTGCACCAACAGTAGAGAAAATGGATGTGTGAGATTCCTTTAAAACCCTCATGCCTCTCTGCGAAACTGCATGGGATCTGCCAGCTTCCCACTGCAGCATCTAAAATTCTAACCTAAGACATATCACATGGGATCTGTGATGGACAAAGCAGCATTTGGGCAATTTTTGTTGTTGTTGTAATGTTGTGTAATGTTTTGATTGATTATGTATGTTTTTATTGCTCCTCCTAAATGTTGTTTCCACATCGTCAATTGTATGAATCTATAGAATGAAATAAAGAAAGATAAAGATAAGCAGCGACACACACAGAGAGAGCCTACACAGAAATACCTTAACAGCGATAAAACAAGAAGTGGCCGCTGCAGCACATAAGACGTGTAACCCGAGAAAATTTTAATTTTTAAAAATTTGGAAAAAGAAAAGAACAGAAAATGTAGACATTTTAATTTGAATTGAAGTTTTGTCTCATATATAAAGAACTAAGAGCTACGAATCTTCCATTTCCCCTGCCAATTCTGATTCCACCAACTGCTCCACATTCATTAATTATCCTATCATTGATTCTATATGTATAAGTCTTGATACTGACAGCATCATTAAATAACCAACCTAAAACGAAGACACATGACATCCAGATCCAAGTAGACCATAATGTTTACATTAGAAATAATTAAGTAAGGCATCAGTAAACACTTTCATTCTCTGCAACTCAGCTGTTGGCTCACCTCCCAGAAGTCAATCTTAACAGTAATTAGCTGTTTCCAGCAACTCACTGTAATGAAATGAATACAGAATCATCTACAGACATCTGAGGGATAAAAATGTAGCAATGTGAGCTGGTAGGAGAGGGAAGGACTGTGTGCTCAAATTGTGCTCTGAAAGAAAAATACTTTGTCTAGTCACAACTTGTTGCTATCCGACCTTTTTCCGACAAGGTAGTTTGAACAAAGCACCGGTACACAATCAACCTAAGATACGTATGGGAGTATGGGAGTAACGCTGCTAAGCACGACATTACACAGTTCAATTAA